TATACACTTGTTTGCTCACTCTGACTGATGTTTACAACAGGGGATTGACTGAGAAGAGCCTCTTCACCCTTTTTACTCAAGGGCGCCTGCTGTTTCTGTTGATACTACTTGATAGCTAGCTCTTTTTTCTCCCTCAGCAGCAGGATTCCATCACCGAAGTCCTTTCAGAGACACCTGCATACCAGTGAGTCTCAATGATTGAGCTTGCAGGCGGCGGGAAGAGATCAGGAGAATCTCAGAGAGGCCACAACGGGATGGAGGGGTCGACGAATCGGGTCCAGTCGTGAAAATGAAGGTCGTAATTCCTTTCAATCCTTCCTGTATCCCGTCCCGCCCCTCCCTTACCCCCTTCCCATTGCACGTTTGCAATCCAGCCCCCTTGTTCCCCTCCCAGCCAGTCCTTACAGAAAGATTGGATTTGCATTTTGATTTCTGCTCTTGAGTGTCAAAAGGTTAATTTTTTCGTTAACTTTTTCCCATTGAACCATATGAGGTCCACCTGAATCTGGTGCTTAATTGCCTCTACCACAACTGGACCTTCAAGGCAAACTCCTTCCATCACACTGATGCACCTTTTCCACCAGATTGCCCAAAAGATTGCTCTAAGTCCCACTGTGAACATATTTTCCTCAAAGGTGCTTGCTTGTTCCGATTGCCAGGTTTCACACAGAATTGGCTTCCAGTTCCACCGCCAAGGGTTGTCGTGTGTCTAGCTGACGCCACACCCGATCCCACCATCTCCACAACTAGACCGACCCAAGGCACTATAGAAAGAAGATGTGTCCAATTGTCTCTGGTCTCCGCCTGGGCGGGTATGATGGATGTCACACAAAATTTACACCAGGGAAGATAATCTGGTGGGTAGGTACCCCTTTTTTTTTCTTTTTCTTTTTTTAACAAAAACTCCCACCAGTGTTAGTGGTGCTGATAAGAGCAGGCACCACTAGCACTTGGGGAGAGTAGGTATCTAAAAACTAGTAAAAAGTTTTTTTTTTTTTTTTTTTTTTTTGAACTAGTAAAAAGTAATTCATTGTTTTGAAGAATTTATCATAGCACAAATACAGTCAGCAGCACATGTTCCCACCGGGCATGCATGGGATTGGATATCTGGCATAAATTCGGGCGTAGTCTTTTTTTTTTCTTTTTTTTTTTTTGAGTTAAGGCCCTTTGTGCAAGACCTCTATCCTGGTGGTGATAAGAGAACCACCGGGATTGAGGCTTTGCCTAGCGGGCCGCTCCATCTATTGGTGGGGAGCAACACCTGCTGGAAACCAGGTCCATAAATTCGTGCGTACTCACATTTAGTCTAGCTTTATTTCAAATATATCTGACTTCATTTACAACCGGGCCTGGATGCATCTGACCACAATTACTCCATAAATAAGTAAAGGAGTCCTAGTATGATTATGCGCTTAGAAATTGAGAATAGACTGATGGAGCCTGCCTGGGGGTGCTAGTGGTGGCTGCCTACACCAGCACCCCTAGCATCACCCAGGGCGTGTTTTTTTAATTAAAAAAAAAAGGAATTCAAAAATAAAACAAAAAAACAAAAAAGCAATTCAAATTTCAGAGGTCAGAGATCATAGCAGACCCCGCAGCACAACTAGAAATGAATTCCATTTTTTCAAGAAAGAAAGCAGAAACGGGCGTGTCATCACAACCTTCAGTACCACTTGCTGTGTCGTGACTCAACAGAGGAATAACAAAGAAAAGAGAAAGAACGAATTCACAGAAATAATTGGAAATTCCAAACTTCTACATATTGCAGAGGTCTGTCAGACAGGGGGACCCCATAGCGCCCTTTCTGTTCCTCGTCATCATGGAAGCCCTACTGGCCAGATGGGAGGAAATCTACAGACAACCGCTCTTTGGCAACCGGGGGCTAGGTCCCACTTGCACGAATTAAGAGACACTAACCGTAGATTGCAAAGATCAACAGCCGAAATCTCCTAATTTGCGCAAGTGGGACCTTGCCCCGGTGGGTCACCAACACCCACAACCAGGTAAAATGCAGCACAAACTCCCCCTGGAAAGGATGGGTGAGACAGGGGGATAATGAGGGTGGGAGATCTGTGCGACAAAGAAACACATCCCCGGGGCTAGTAGTGTCTGCTCTTTTCCGGCCCACTAGCACGAGAGGATGTTAAAAAAAAAAAAAAAAAAAAAAAAAAAAGGATTGAAAAACCTCGGAGCAAATGTGGGGGAAGCTGCAATACTGCCATCTCATGGAGGCTCCAATGGAGGAGATAATAGAAGCTCTCTCGCTATCAGGGCATACTTGTCTGAGAAGGGGACCAGGGGTTAGGGAGTGGGGTAGGGTGATGAGGGGGGGGAGGAGGGGGTGGAGAGCCTGACCTCGTTTGACTGGTCCGCATGGAAAGGGGGGAGGATATTCTGATGGAGCTGTACACGATAGGGAAAGAGGGCAGGTTGATCGGCAGCGGGGACCCATTTGTCTAGGTGGATAAAGTTGAGGTCCAACACGAACTTCTGACCGTATCTCGGTCAAAATTGCTGAATTTTTTTTTTTTTTTTTTCCCTCCGTCAGAAGTTCGTGTTTGG